AGTCTCCTGCCTCAGCCTCCCAAGTAGCTGGGACTATAGGCACCGGCCACAACGCCTGACCATTTTTTGGTTGCAGCCATCCTTGTTGTTTGGCAGGCCCGGGCTGGGGATTCGAACCCACCACCTTAGGTGTATGTGGCTGGCGCCTTAGCCGCTTGAGCCACAGGCACCGAGCCGTCTTGTAGCCTTTGTATATGCTGTTCTGCTGCTTGGGATGCACCATCCCTTGTACCCTACTTTGCCTGGCCAAATCTGGCTCAAATGTCTAGTCCCATTTACAGATCACCACCACCAAGTGGGGGCCTCCACTAGACTCCCCTGGATGCATCCCCTTTCATGAGTGAGCTGGGGAATGATGGTAACTTAGAGCCCACCAAGAAGCCAGATAGATCCCCTTCCCCCAGTTCAGCTGTGCTCACTCCCAGACTGGCCCTGCCAGGGCTTGTCTGGGACAGTTGGCCCCACTTCCCTGTCACCTGCCCTCAGCTTCCTCAGGCACTGCCATTATTAGCTTCTGAGAAGCAAGAGGTGTGAGGAGTGGGTCATGAGCTTCCCAGAATAGTTCCCTGGGACAGGGCAGCCTTCCTGGGCCTGGGCTGTATTGATTGCCCCTCCCAAATAGGCATAGAGAAGCAAAGTCCTTAAAACACAGGCCCGTCAGGCCATGGAGTCTTGTCACCTAAGAGGAAGCATTCTCAAAGAAGTGAAGAGAATGAGGAGCTACCAAATGAGAGGGATTATCCAAGGAGGAAACAGGGAACAGCATAAGCAAGTGTTCTGAGGCTGCAGGGTGGCTGGAAATATACAACATGCCTGTGATCCCAGCACTCTGGAAGGCCGAGGTGGGAAGATCCTTTGAGCCCAGGAGTTTAAGACCAGCCTGGGCAACATAGAAAGACCCTGGCTCTATGGGAAAAAATGAACCGTGGTTTGAATTACAATATAAATGGCTTCTAGATGTACCCCAAAATGGGACAGGGCAGTTGGAAATGATTATTTGTTCACCATATGCTTATTGTGCACCTATTATAAATTGGGCTGCTCCTGATCTATGTCCTCCTAAAGCCTCTGCACCCCAAAGAACAAGTCCCCAGCTTTGGCCCAGAAGCAAACAGCAACCCACATAACCAACACCATGGCAAAGTGGAAGGAAATTGTTCCAATCATTTATTTGACTCTCAGCCAATGCACACCCTCTATCACACAAAAGGTGGAAGCTACAACAAATCCAGTGCTGCAGGCAGCGTGTGACGTGTAAACAAGGACGAGACAAAAATGCCACTCCTGTGCAATTTGGGAGCAAATCAGAGTGGGCCGGGCCCAGGCCCAATATTACATTCACAGCGCAGGGTAAGTGCAAATGAACGGAATGTCAGGGTGGAGGGGAGAAGGGCACGGGGTCCCTGCTGCTCAGGAGGCTGCTCCCTCCGGGTGCTGATCTTAGAGCTGCCTATGGATCCTGCGTTTTGGGGACTGAGTCCCAAGATGATGAGCCACACCCAGCACCACCCCTCATCCTTGGGGTGCCTTTCCCATCAGGGTCCAGGGACTGACGTGCAAGAAGCCTGCCCTCTCACTCCAGAGTATGGCAAACCAGGCTGGGGAGTCTATTTCTTGGGCAGGTCTCAACCTGGAAAGGGGCAGAGCCTCAAAACAAAGGGTTAAGGCAATAAATAAAACTTCCCAGCTTGGGTGAAAACACTCTAAGAGGAGTGAGTCTGCAGGACTGACAGGAAGCCTGCAGCATGAGGACATGGCTGCTGGGACAAATACTAACGTGACTTGGTCAGCAGAACCAGCAGAGGCTCTACACACCTGCGCAGCTCCAAGAGCATTTGTGCGTTGAAGGCAAAGTGCTGGGTAAAGTTCCTTGTCCTAATAAGGGCCGGGAGCTGGTCTGACCACACATACCCTCTGACCTCCCCCAAGGTGGTCCCTGGCCCCAGTGACCCCTGGTCCGAGCCCCCAGCTCAGAGCCTAGCACCACCCAGGGAGTTCCGGGCTCACAGAGGGAGGTGATGGGGGACGGGAGTGCCCATCCCACCTCCTCCTGTCTTTGGTGGTAGCAAAAGTGGGAGAGGAAATGACAGTCTGGCAGGGCAAGGGAATGTGGAAGGACAGCATCCCGGTTTAGTGCTTGGGTTTGTCAGGGGCCTAGTCCTGGGCAGATGTGAGCATGAGGAAAAGGCCCAGCTCTGTTCTACCTCAGGACAGCCCAGGCCTGCTGCCCACCAAGGTACTCCCCACTCTGCCTCTCTGAAGTTACAAACTCTTTAGGGAGGTGGCCAGGTTGGGGAGGCCATTAAGACTGGCCAGCTGGGTACCTGGATTCTGAGACTGCAGCTGCAAGTGACTTCTAGCTCAGGACCCCATAAGCCTTCCACACAGAGCTCTGCCTCCTTCCTTCACCTCCACCCTCCCAGGCTCCTTGTCAGCAGCTCTGGGGTGATGGGAGGTGTCTGGTCCTGCTCCCAGGGCATCCTAACTCTGCCTGCCTCAATGGTCGACAATAGCTTTCTCTCTCTCACTGCCTTCCTCTCCCTCAGGCCCTGGTAGCCACTGGCTTGGCCTCTGCTTCTGCCAGGGACTTCTGAGGGTGGTCAGGCAGACCACAGGGGCTCCATGCCTCTCCACAGAAATTTGTCTCCCTGGCCTTGGGGCTTCCCAGATGATGGGGATTGGGGCAAGGTGGGGGGCAGATATCCTTGGCCACAGAGGCCCTCAGATGTCAGCCCAAAGAAAGGGAGGAAGTGTTCTTCTCTGTGCCCCTCTACTACAGCTCCCCCAGGGGCCCATTTTCTCCAGGCAGTGCCCCATTCAGGCCAGTGCTGCTGGCTGCCGGTGCTCCCAGGTAGCCCAGCAGGATCTCACTGCGGCGCCGGGACAGCTGCAGGATGTCATCTGCCAGGGCGGGCACTGACGTGTAGCGCACGTTGTCCAGGTCAAACATGTCCCGCAGGTATTGCACGATCTGGTGCTGGGAGTACAGGGCTGACATTGGACCTGACCTAGGCCCTTGTTGCCCCAGAAAGTCCTCCAGACCCTCAGAGCTCCAGCCCATCCTTAGGCTCCTCCAGTTCTCAAGCTTCCTCTGGACCCACCTGGACCCCCACTCCATTCCTGCCACCTCCCAGGGCTCCTGTGCCCAGCACAGGGCAGGGCAGGACCAGGGAAGAATGGGAGCCCCTCTGTTTACCTTAAAGAAAGCACAGACTTCAGCGAGCTGGGGCTTGGGCCCAAGGAAGCCGAAGGCCAGGACAGGGCTCACATGCTCCGATACGGAGTAGAAATGGGAGATGAAGCCATCAGGCACCTGCAGTGGGTAGCAAAGCTTAGGGACCAGCTGCAACCCAGGGAGGGTGAGAACTGCCAGAACCTGGTAGTCACATAAAGGGAAGGCTATGGAAGTAGTCCCGCCACGTGTACATTTGTGCTAGATGACCCTAGGCAGTGACTCAATTCAAAGGCCCCGTTTTCACTACAGAGAATGATGACCTCAGGGCTTTGGTGAGAACTTCTCAACCATATAGGCTTGGCAGGAAGTTCCTGGAGCATGGAGCAGCAGCAGCTGGGCAGCAGAGCCTGCCACAGAGGACAACAATGGCTTGAAGCCCAAAGAGTGTAGCCACCACTGCCTGGGAGTGCAGACAGCAGCAGCCTGAAGGCCAGGAGGGATAGGGCTCTGCCTCCTC